CTCTGTCTCTCTGTCTCTCTCTGTCTCTCTCTGTCTCTGTCTCTCTCTGTCTCTGTCTCTCTATGTCTCTGTCTTTGTCTCTCTGTCTCTTTCTCTCTCTGTCTCTCTGTCTCTTTCTCTGTCTCTCTCTGTGTCTCTCCCACTGTCTCTCTGTCTCTGTCTGTCTATGTCTCTCTCTCTGTCTCTCTCTCTCTGTCTCTGTCTCTGTCTCTGTCTCTCTGTCTCTGTCTCTCTGTCTTTGTCTCTCTCTGTCTCTGTCTCTCTCTCTCTCTGCCTTTCTCTTTCTCTCTCTCTCTGTCTCTCTCACTCTGTCTCTCTCTGTCGCTGTCTCTCTGTCTCTGTCTCTCTCTGCCCCTTGTCTTTCTCTCTGTGTCTCTGTCTCTTTCTCTCTCTGTCCCTCTCTCTCTGTCTGTCTGTCTGTCTGTCTCTCTCTCTCTCTCTCTCTCTCTCTGTATTTTAATTTGTTTCTCTCTGTGTTTATTTTTAGCTCTGTCTCCCACTGATTCTCTCTGTACCTCTCTCTCCCGGACGTTACTTTACAATCGCAGGGGCAGACACTCAATATTTCAGGGCATTAGAGCGCGGTTGCATTAGAGCGCAGTTGTGTAGAGAACCTGAACAGGGGCGCTTGGGTCAGCATAAAATCATAATCAACGCGCGTCTACGTGCGCAGGCACATTCCCATCGTAAGGCATATATTCTTCCCACAAGTGCAAAATATAAGCTGACAAAGTTTTATCACAATCGGATAAACGGTCCGGCAGCGCAATATGTACAAATGATACAACCAACCAACCAAACAACACCCAAACAAAAAAGCATTTATATCATACATTCAGACGACGACGACGACGACGACGAACACACAAATTAATAAAAATGTACAATGTTTTTCACATTAAAAATTGTATTTATGCATTCAATACAATTTTAAATGCATTTTCTTTTTTAATTGACTCATGAACAGAGCTGAGGGAAAATGTGGAACATTCATCTCGAGGATGATATTTTGTATTTGTTATGAAACTGTTATAAAGATTGATGAATTTAAAAAAGCACAATTTTACGAATATATATTTTTTTATGATTCCAACAATATAAATTATGAGACTCTCTGGCAATAAAAATAAATGGATAGAAGGAAGACATCAGTTACACAAATTTTTACAATAATTTACTTAAGCAAATGCAATGTGAATTACAAAACCAATAATGTTGGGTTACTTGCTATCAAAGTAAAAAAATCCCAAAACAAAACTATTTGAAATATTTTCATCTCTTCAACAGGGAAGATAGTCTCCATTTGTTTCATGTTTAAATGCTAGTTCTTATACATTAATATAAAGTATGTCAAGAACGTAGGCCTATATTCATGTTTGTTTCTTATGAATTGTAGAAAAAAACACCGGGCAGTTCCACTCACCTTAAAGGAAAGTTCACGGGAAAGTATCCTGTTTATCGAGTAAATGGCACCATGTCAAGGGGTCGTTTACTCAATTCTACTGGAGATTTTTATGTTCATTTTGAAGACAAAATATTTTTGGTTTCAGTAAATACCACACAAGGTAACAGCACACAGAACTTTTAGAGCAAAGCTTCATACAATTAAAAATGAAACTGAAACTATAGAAGGTAATTCTCTATAAATTAACTTTTTCAGATGGATCTGATAGATATTATTATATGGATGGAAATATTCCTGATTCACGTAATGCTTTATTCAATGTATGGACTGATTATGAAGATATTCGAGTAAATGATGTTGTTTTCTACTTACGACTCAATCATTCAAGGCTGGTGACATCTAAACTTCGTTGGCGACCAGAATTGGAAACTGAAATTAGAGTAAGTTTTGAAATAATTACTAGAAGAATTTAGCAATGGATGAGTAAAAAGTAATTTATTATAACATAGAATAAAAATTAGAGGCAAATATTTAAATCTAGAAATGGCCTTTTTGAGAAATTGGATTACAACTACTTTAAAAAAATTATGCATTCGAATATTAATATAAATGTATTTTACGAGGATAGTTGGAAATCTTCAAAAGACACTGGATAACGTGTACTACTCAGTGTGTGAGAATTTTACTTACTAAAACCAATTCTTCCTTTTCTTTCATACTCTTGAAGGAGCCACCTACAACCATTACATTGCAGGGAGTGGAATAGTTACTCAGTCGCATGGTATATCTATTCTACTATCTTGAGTAGTAGTCAAGTAGCTTCAAGAAATCAAGGGATTTCCTTCCTTTCTTCTAGCCATCATAAATCCAGTAGTTTTAATTGTGAAATATCACACCCTGCCGGGGCGGATTTAAACATAGGCAAAGGAGGCATGTGCCTATGACGGCAAAATTTTATGGGCAGCAAAAATTGTGAACTAAAATTGGGTCTAATCATTGTCTAAAAATTGAGAATCTTTTTCATTGCAGGTGATTTTTCGTTTTTAAAAAATTTGTATTTTATGAGTTTTTGAAGAAAATTATTAAATAATCATGATTAATTTATTAACAGGCTAATACCGCTAATCTGCTATATGACTTGTGATAAGTCAAAATGAGCGATGGTTATAGGTATTGAAAAGGAGTCTTCATGTTACATTAATTCCAGTTACCTTTCTTTAATTTTTTATGAGGTTTACATAGTCCAGTTTATTGACTTTTTCACTTGTATTTGTTGACTTATAACTATACTTACTCTAACTTAATATTTAACTAGAGTAAATACAAACTGATATGGAAGATTCATTGACCATCTACTATTTTAGCTAATGTGTGAAAAAATATTTAGGAATTTTTCGAATTTTAACACAGTTTGGGAAATAGTTGATTGTTTCTAAAATAAATTGTTAGAGAAGTGGGCTATGTGATGAGAGATAAGTGGTAGATTTAATTCTTTATGAAATTGTATGTTTGATATGAATGGGGCATGTTTTGCTATTCAGAAGAATTTGTTTTACGTAATTTGAATGTTATTTATATAGAGAGGCATTGATCCTTATAGGGAATGCATATGATTTAAGCGGTATAATTATTGTTTTATATAATGCAATTGCATTGTTTAATGATTGTTTGCTTTTATTGTTGAGGACTTTTGTTGAATTAACTTTATTTTACTGAATTTTAGTTTTTTTATTATATGGGGTTTTCTATTAAATCTGGTGTCAAAACTGAGCTCAAGGTTGACATATAACTTGGGTTTTGTGAGATCCTCGGGATTGTGTTTTTCTTTATGTGAAGTGGTGCGGGAGTGGAAAATGGCCTGAGCTAGGCTCAATATTCTCGCCCGAAATGGATGCAAGGGACTTTAACGTTTGTCTAATAACCTTTCAATGACACCGCGGGTTGCATGCGGCTGGCAGGCCGCCAGTTGGACACCCCTGCTCTAAAGCATCCATGGTCCTTCAGAAACCGTGTGAATTTACCTTGTCGAGCTTCCGAGGAATGCTCAATTCATTCAACTGAATGAATCAGTCGGTAGGTCCACCTTCCCTTGGAGGAAGTGTTCCACCGCTGCAGCTATTCTGCTAGTGGTTCCAAGCAGTTTTGCTTCCCGTCTCTTTCGTCGTAACTCCTAGGCGGTCCACGAGCCATTATATGAGTCACCATTTAATGGCTCTATAGGAACATCCCTACGATGGCACACACTGCCTTGCTTTAAACGGTGCGGAACGCAAATAGCCGAGGCTACAGACGCCATTCCTCTTACGTAGCTCTTCGTGCCTGTACGTGGCCTAAACTGGGGATCCATAGAGCACATGTCGCGACCGAAACGAGCAGCTTTATCTTTTCATAAATAGGCTCTCCAGATTCCGGCATTAACCTAGTCATTGCAGCAAGTATTTACCACCGCCGCATAATCTAAGTGATCTCTAAAGGACAAGTGAGTTTGATCATGTCGCCAAGGTATTTTATTTAAGGTCGTGATGAAATTTGGTCACCAGCCTTAAGAGTGTTGGATTCTCTTCTTTTCCTGTTAGACACAAGAACAACTTATGCCTTGTGTCCGGCAAGCAGTAATCCTGAAAATACATGCTACTTCTTTTATAAATTTTGCGACGACGATGGCAAGTCGTCGGCGAAGCCTATGCTTCGCAGTTACTACTTCTGGGAGTGGGAGCCTACGGACCTCACCATAATATTCAGTGGGTCCAGCACTGAACCTCGTGGAACGTCGGCGATGATGATGGGTACCTTCGGTCCACCTTACGTATTGTATACTAGAATTCAGCGACCACTCTCCTCTTTAAGAACGTTGGCACAGTGATTTGGTGAGTGCCTTATAATTGTCACTCCCTCCTGACGAGTTCAAAGTATTCTTCTTAATATGCAATGTTCCCACCTCACAGTACTTCTTTGGACATCTTTCTCGTCTTTTCCCTCTAATAGTGTGTTGGGCAATGCCAGCAACAAGCTGAACAGCTCTGATTCTTGAACAAACCTACTGAATGCCATATAATGGTTACCGTTGCCGTTGCTGGTCATAAGCCCGAAGAGGGGTGGAGGCAGAGGAGGGATTCAGGGGAATAGGGGGAAATTTCCCCATCTAGGGACAAATTAAAAGAATATGTTTAGACATTTTATTTCGTGGATTTTCAAATTTATGTATAAAAGTTTTACTTGTTTCTGTATTTTGAGAAGAAATATAATAATAATAATAATAATAATAATAATAATAATAATAATA